CTCGAAACGCCGACAGGAACCGCGTGGGCCGCGCCTCGGCTCCGCGCACAAGGCAGTGCTGCCCTAGCTCGGGGGCTGGGTTATTATTTGGGGGGTTGCTTCAAAGCTTTCAGCAGAGCGAGTCCGTCCAGCTCGGGCTCTCGGGCTGGCCGGAGTAGGAAGGAGTCGCTCCGGCCGGGCTCTGGTTGCAGCCGCCCCCCCCCGCCCCCCGCGCCGTGTTTTTCTTGTCTCGTTTGCTGTGCCAGACCGACAAGTGCCGCAAGAGCATCGTGCGCCTAGCTGCGGCCCGTTTGCACTCGCTAAATACCCTAGTGTAAATGTGAAGGACCCATCGGACAATTCTTTTACCCAAAATATAAGATAAAATAGAGTTTGGAAAGAAGTAAGTTCACATAATGAAACTGATACGGCAGACAGTTCATATTTGACTAGCCATGGTATGTCTTTCAGTTTACTCGCTAATTAAATCGAGTTCCTTCAGTTGTGCCACAGAAAGCTGTTCTTTAAACCTTGCGCATCTGATTTCTGTGATCCTGTAATGACCCTGTAGTGACTGGGATGGGCAATGCAGCACGTCTGTGAGCACGGTCAGAAATACGAGAGTGACAGGTTCTGGGAGGTACGCAGGAGGCATTGTGTAACAGCAGATTTAATTTTCATTGTAACTGGCATTTAAGGGGTTAAAACATAAACTATGGTGGTAGGGGTATGCAGGCAGCTGGTAAATGTGGAAGGGGGGCCACAATAAGAAAAAGTTTGGGAACTTCTGTCTTAGAGGTTCTACAAATCAGAATCTCAAAAAAAATTGTTTTTTAATTAAAAAAAACAAACCAAAAACCCAGGAAAAGAAAAAAAAGGCAGCTGGATTAAGGTAGAGCATTAGAAATCAACAATGTGGTCAGTTTAAAAAAATATTCTAAACTGTTTTGTACCTTAGTAATTTCAGGTGTCTTTAATGTAGTTGAATATTTTATCTCTGACCTCAGCTCAAAAATTCTAAGTATATTTCTTATGTGTGTATTTTAGCATGAACCCTTGTTCACTGTAACTTAGTTAATACATGTAAAATAATCTGTGCTAAAACATCACACTTTTAGAAACAAAAAATAGTAATTAGTTGTCAAAGATGATGCAGACCTCTAAAATATCAGCCCACTCTGCACAATTTATTTTATGTGAAGCCATCTGTGGTTTCACTTCCATGAGTTTTATCAAGGTTTGCAAACTATACAGTGTGCACAGATTTTCAGTCCTCTTCTGGGAATTGGATAGATCTTCAGTTTGCGTGAAACTCCTACGCACATTTCTCTTGTTCGCTTTAGAGATATTTACTTTTATTTAATAACTAATAAAATAGACTGAGAATGAATAGTCCTGTGAAGTATTATAAGAGGCAGAACTAGGGCAGTATATGTTACTCAGCAGGCCTGAAATGAGGGAGAAGCAATGTTGACGGCATTGTTTTGGAATATCAAGCAGGTAGGAAGGACAGCTGGGCTAGCATGTCTTTATTAGAATAATAAAAATAGTAATGCTTTACACATTTTTGGTCTCTCTCAGCCAAAGGATCTGAACATGCTTTTTTAACACCTCTGAGATATTAAGGATTCTCTCTCTCTCTCATTTTTACAGATGGAGAAAAGGAGGCACAGATTGTTTAGTGATCCAAAGTCATCTAGTAAATCACTGTTAGACGCAGAAATAGAAACATTTTCTGACTTTCATTCCTGGGCTGGACGTGTTGAAGGAGCTTGCCAGGGAACCAGTGGAGAGATGAGGTTGTTGGAAGTGGAAGAAGATGGAAGAGTTTCCCACCAAAGCTGGCTGAGGAGAGTCAGCTATGCAACGTTGGCTGGTTGCAGTATTGTAAAAGTGCTACACGTTTTGATTTTATGGCCTGTGGGCATTTATTGGGCTGATCAAGTCCTGAATGGAATGGGATATGTGTGACCAACATACATTCAGTATTATTAAAAGACTGAACAAAACTGTTATAGCAGCCCTTTTGGTTCTAAAGAATTGACAAGCTCATCCCACCTAGGTATTAAAATAAATCTGCACAGAGCCCTGCTAACCATTTATGCTAAATATATATTTTAAGCATTCTTAAAAATCTCCTCAAGACGAAATCACTCTCCAGGTAAATCTTAAGTCAAATGCACTGATGCATTGTTAAAGACTAAAATCTATTTCCTCACAGTCCTCCTTCTATTTCTGAAACTCAGCTTCTGGTCCAGGAGGCAACATATGCAAGGCAGAATGGCATGTTTGAAGATGCCACAGCCTGACATGGTAAGCCTGTGGTTTAGAGAAAGCCTTAGCACACTAGGAGTCAATTTTAGGTTGCTACATGCTGGAGTCTTTTTTTCCCTTGGGTTGGAGGGTAATGATCAGTTCATCCTTTGCCCATTATTTATGGTGACCTTCATTTAATTGTCCAGTCTTGCCCTCACTGAAATTTCTGTGCCCTAGACTTTCACATCCTCTCCCAATAATGGGGATTATGCTGGAGTTGATTAGAGATGAATTCTAACCATTCTGGTTACATACTGTGTGCAGGCTAGCTGCAAATCTGACTTCGAGTGGTCTCATGAGGTTAGTAACTCCAAAGTTCTCATGATTAGTGCTTTCTTTATCAGGTACCACTTATTCCTAATTTGCTTTAATTGAGCAGTAAAGGGATCGATTTGTTCTGACTTGTCAAATAACAAATCTTCAGAGCTATTATATTTACTTACTGTTCTTTTGTTTCAGTTCTACGTTACTAGTATTGTCATCAGTTCTGTGTTGTTCCTTTAATGTGACTACTAATAGCACTCTATAAAAATAAGCTAAAGCATAGGAAAAAGGATATTCTGAGTTACTTTGTTTATATTGCAGTCTGAAGATGTGAACTGCCTTGCTGAACATTGTGGGGATGGACTAAACTGAGGTCAGTAATTACCTTTAAAACTGCTATTTGTGACTCACCAATAAGTGTCCTGGAAGATATTGGGTAGCAGCCCAAGAAAGAGTAAAATATTTGAAACATTTATGTAAGGAGGCTGCTGAATATACTTATACAATATTCAGTGTTGAAAATAAATTACTTTTCTACCATTGAGATTTGGAATGGCTGCACAATAGGACTGGAAACCATTGTATGTTTCATAGCAGAAACTGTCTAGAGTTAAAGAAAGCAATAGCTAAGTATCAAATACTTGGTTCGTGAGACAGTTCCTTTTAAAGTTTCTAATATTGTAAAAGCCTAAGTTTGTGTGTGTGTCTGTAACGATTTATTTGCACACTGAGTGGCTGATGGAAGCAGCCAATCAGAGTGCTCCAAGCGTGGAGGAGCACCGCCATGATTCCAAAGCCGTGCCGAGGACCAGGCAGAGGGTGCTGGCTTCAGCTCCCCCACCCTGCTCCCTGCAAGAGGCAGAACAGCGGCAGCATGGGGCATGAGGTGGTGGCACTCCATCCCAGCCTCCTTCCCTGCCCTGCCATTCTTGACAGGCAATTGGCTAGTACTGTATATTTATCTATATATTGATTCAAGTTGATCCAAAGTGGCTAGAAAAGGCAGCAGGAAGATAATAGAGTTATATATAATCTGCCTTTTATAAACTCTTGGGGAGTGATCACATGAAAATGAGTGAGTTAATAGTGGTGAAGATGCTACTTCCAGGGTCCAGTCATAGCTTGGGAACCTAGTGATCAAGAGGATGCTAAACAATTTTAAAAGAGTTCTCTGCAGAGGCAGAGAAAGAAGTTTCCTGGGAAGCCCCTACTGGCATGGAGATAGATCCTTTGGGAGTGTTGGAAGTAGATGGTCTCTTCCAAAGCTCCTTGCAGGTGGTACCTTTAAAAATCCATCTGTGTAACTATTTTTCTTATGATGTGCATAGATTCCAGATTGGAGAGGGAGTAGATTGGTATACTCTCTTCCTTCAGTGTAAAACTGTTGAAAAATAGTCAATTTAAAACGAGACGGTTTCAAAATGTAATTTTTATATTTTAACTTGGAAATATTTCACTCACTATTATTGAATTTACAAAGGCAACTTTGAAATTAAAATATTTGAAGACATACAGTTTATCGTGTGCTTCCAATAGATGGCACGCACAGCACTTTAAAAATTAAAGATGCATAATTTTGAAACCTGCGCTATCATTTTTATCACCCTACCTGACAACTGGCAGAATCAATTCAAGTTCACTTTCAGGCTCCAATCTAAGCATGGCATTTGTGTTCCAGCTCGGATAAAAAATAGCTGAGATGTTGGTAACATATCTTCTTGGTTTATTTTAGAAGACACACTACAAATTTAACATGTTTAATTATTCAGTCATCAAGTAAAGTCAGAGCTTATCTATCTTTATTATTCCTGTCCCTCAAATATACTGAATAATATTTTAGGGGAGGATACTTGATGCTTACAAAAGCTATAGTGAAAATGGGCAATTTTTCAGTCTACATCTGACAGTGTCTGCAGATTCCCTTTCAAGTAGTGAACACTAGGAAAAGAAATGCATTCTTTTCTGGAAATATATGTAACTATATCATTAAAAAAGTCAG